AACCAAACACTGAACAAGACTTTTTAGGTAACCAAAATTGTAAAAAAACAAACCGACTTTCACCTGAGAGGCCGGTGTTCACTTCCTGTAAGATTGTAAAGCCAAACCCTGTTCTTTTTTTCCTAAACGTAACCAGGTGTGTGTTGTTGAAGGAAAAAACAGCAATTTGCGGTGTTGTACCGACGTAGTGCTTTTATTTTGAAAGAGACTGTATGCAAACTGTACATTTCCTGTGAAAACAGAAGTGTATTTTGAAAACAGACAATGTATGTAACAGGCTGAAGTTGCCACGGCATCCCAGAACGTCAACAACCAAAACACCCAGGGTACCTTGGACGTCATATGTGGACGTGGAAAGTCCATGACCAAACGTGGACATGTGACGAGGTCACAGTGAGGATGGGTTGGAACTTAAAAGACACTAAAATAGCAACAGCTATGACGCAGAAGATCTGGGTAATTACATACACAGGAAGTCAAACTTTTGTGGCTTCTTCCCGGCCCCCAGGAAGTGTGCTGGGCTTTAACGTCAATATTTGTAGTGGCCAAACAGTTTAATTTTACTGTCATGAGAAGCCCTCTGGCCAAAAAAGACTTTTTTCTATTTACTTACATGACATAAGAGACATCTTTATTTATCTAGAGATTTACCACTTCCTGTATCTTAAGTTTAAAATCATTTAAAGAGATAAGTGTATCAGTGGATACATTTTTTTGAGCGTCACAGCCCCCACAAAATGATTCATGTCACTATCGGGCGTCGATTAATTCAGTCTGATAATGGTTAGCGGAGCGCTTAACAGGAAGTAGCCACCCGGCTGGTGGAGGTCTCTGCTCTGTGGGCCACATAGTGAAGAGGCAGTGCGGATTGTCCGGTTAATCTTCTACACTGCAGCTGAGCCCGTTTGCTTCATGCGCCTCTGAGCAACTTTTATAGGAATGAACGGAGCCCTGCCTCCACCTCTGTGTCCAGTTCTCTTTGTACATCCATGGAGAGAGATTTATTTTTACTCTTTATGTGGGAAAACCGTGTCAAAAGAATCATAGCAGAGTATTTTTACCTACTTTAAAACGTGTCTGGAGAGCCTTTGTGTCACTGTGGCTGTGATAAGTGCAGTTTGAACCTCAGCCTTTTACTTGTTTATCTCCTGAATTTATAAAGCCTCCAATTTCTCTAAAATTACAGATGCACAGTCACAGTTTCCCTTTGCACTTATCTAAGTGTTGCTGCTGAATGAGAAGAAAATTACACCCTGAGTGGATGAACCAGTGATCATCTGTGAGCTGTGCAGAACACTGTATCAACTTCCATACAAAAATAATATAATGAACACGGCACACCTCCACAAGATGCATGAAAAATGAAGCGTTATGTATCAGATGACTTGATTGAGGCTCAATTAGATTAATGTAGAAACCACTTATTTGAATTTAAAGGAAATTTGTTACTGCTGCATATGACAACTGCATATTTGATTACTGTGTCAGGATGAGGTATTTGTAAAGCAAGACTCAAGCCACTTTATTAGGTACACCTTGCTGGTATCGAGTTGGACCTCCCTTAATGCATGTTTCTGGGTATTTCATAATCTTGTCCTCAAATATTTATCGTCTTCAGCTGGTGGCAGTATGTCGGGTTGTGTCATGTGTCTTGTCTCTGTTAAGCGCATCCAGCAGAGGCAGATGATGTTATTATACATCAGCCGTCCTACACTCTGCCTTCATATGTTAACATCATTACTGACTCCACCATCGCAGTGACACTTTCCATCCACCACGCTCTGCTGCCGTGTACCATCTCCATCACATATATGTCTGTGTTGGCTATATCGCTTCCTCTAACATAACCAGAACACTGCTGTATGTTGTGTGTATGTTGTGTGCCTATGTGCTGCGAAATGTTCTGAAGGATGTTCATATTTTTGTGTTGCTGTATCTTTTATGTTAATATAACAACATACATTTCAGACTTGTAAAAACATTTAAGTCACGAGGTGCACGTCTGAAAGGACGAACACTCTGTAATTAAACATTCTTTGAGTCTCTTGAGTTTGCCAAGCATTTATTGAATGAATTAAACACTATAATCACAATAAAACTGTCTGCATGGAGCATCGATAACGTGTCGTGACAGCGTGATCCCTCGGCGGTGTTTGTGTTTGTCTGTAAGTGAGGTCACACTGAGGCTGCTCTTGTGACTGATCAGGGTTGCGTTGACCTCTGCCCCAGAGGTCAGGGGTCAAACACATGAGGAGAGGAGGGCAGAGTTCAGCCTGAGCCCTGCTCCAATCAACTTGTGACCTTCCTGTCAACGCTGCTTTGTGCCAGGACTCTACTCTAATTAGTAGCTAATACCGTCATCCAACTTTAGACAGCATTAACTTGTGTCTTGGGTGATTGGATCAAGTGGACAGCTCTAAGTGAAGGTGTGAGTGAACCCACTGCATCCTTACTTGTCTTGTTGTCGTCTAGATGATGCATTTCATTTCCACTGGTAAGGCAGAATTTCTGAGATCCCAGTCAGATATTTCAACTGCAACGCCCCCTGTGGTTGGTTTTCTGACTCGGAAAGTGGGAGTAACCTCACCAACAATCAACCTCAACATCCAAGATGGCTGCTTTGCACATAAATAGTTCTCAAAGCTGTAGTAATACACTGTTTTTTAGCACCGCTGTCGTATGTGTGTCTCATTAAAACACAGCACTGTCAAACATCCACGGAAATGTTACTGCAGTGTTGAAAACACAGAGCCATGCATTGTTATCAGCTGGTATTGCCACCACTGGCTAAGCTGGCCTGAAGTGGAATTGTTAAAAACATCTTCGCTTTTCAGCTTGTACTGGAATGTGGTCAACTCGGGTGTGACGTCACTTACAGCTCTGACCTCTGAGGTGAATGGATGCAGCACAAGATCTGATCGGGAAGGTGCTGTAGCATTGTTTCGACCTCTCATTGTTCTGACCTCTCATTAGTCCGACGTCCCGTTGTTCCAATATGTGATTATTACTGTATTTGTGTACCACAGAGGATCAGCAACGCAACAAAAGTAGGCTACTGGTAGAGATACAAGTGTCATAGAGAGAAGAGAATGAAACACCATAACCTCCTGTTATTAACTCTGGGGTCCGGGTTATGTGGGGAGCCCTCCGCGGTGCTGAACGGCTCCCGGCGGGTGTATTTCTACCTTGATGGTGCGCCGTGACCGGCTCTGGGTCAGCTGGGAAAGGCTTGAAGTGAAGCAGACTCACTGTTTATGTGTTTGCCACTTTCTTTTTCATTTTAACCCACACCATGATCTTTTCCTGACCCTAACCAAGTGGTTTTTGTGCCTAAACCTAACCAGACCTTAAAGGCGCTGTATGTAAGAATGTGGCCAAAACGGTTACTGCACTCAAATTCAAAATACTGCCGCGAGTTGTGTCCGCCCCCCTCCCCTACAGATTCGAGGTTGCTGGACAGCAGCACGCTGGTGACTGATTTGTTTGCCCACGGGCGGCTGCCGTGGCAGGGCCGCGTCACCGCGTCCTTGATCTTCGGTTTTCCAGCGGACCGTTCGAGCAAGTCCGGCTTCTCTGCTGCTAACGCTGCTGCTGGGATACAGCTGAGGAGGAGCCGGCTGCTAATGCTATGTACTGGGACACTGCTAATGCTGCTTGCCGTGCTGCTGTAGCTCAGTCGTAACTGTAACTGATGCTGAGACTCTACTGACTGCGTGACTGGTAGACGGCGGTGGGTGGCGCAACAGGCCAAAACACAAATTCAAAACATAAACATGATTTGCAGACTGTAAAATATTTTTTTTAAATGTGAATATTCTGGCTGTACTATTGTTGTTGGTGAGATCAGTATGTTATATGAACATTATTCCTTAGTCTCTGTGACATATTAGGAGGATTTTATGACTATTTGCTTTAGATTTCTTACATATAGCTTCTTTAACCACAGGGCACCATGATGATTTCGGAACAACGGGACTTCAGAACAATGGGTTTAATATGGTTGGAAAAATGGGCAGACCCCCACGGGGATTGCATTGCTGCAACAATGCACTCACCCAAGATGACGTTAACACCAGGTGTAAACAGGGCTGGAGCGTATTGAGGTAGTTTTGGTAGAAATACCTGTTTTCACTTTTACACCACCGTCAGTTTGAGATTATGGACACACGTGCCCAGGAGCAAAAGTCCAGTGCCACACATACATTTATTATTGTGTTATTATGTACTACTGATTAGTACAGTCATTAATACCCATGGGAAGTTCTTTCTCCAATCAACAGTCTGAAACCCAAATATTTAACTATTAAGTTTACTGTCACATACGACAAAGTAAAGCAGCCAGTCATCACACTGGAGAAACTGGAACTACAGGATGTTTGGTATTTTTGCTAATTGATTATATATTGATTATGAGAGTTTATTGCATTTTATGTCACTTAACTAATGAGTTGCTCATCGAATCTTTTCAGCTCTGGGACGTACTAAAGTCATCCAAGTCTGTAGACAGAGTAGAGAAGTTACTCTTTGATGAAAGGGACAGTCACAAAGGAATAACAGGTCACTGACGTTTGATGATTTCCTTTATTACACTTCCCAAATATCTGCTTTTCATAGCTGAGCTAAGACTGGGCCTCTGAGGCTTTATGTTGCTTCATTTAGCGTTAAGTTGTAAAGCACTAATGTCCACTATCTTTACACTGACGGTGTGAGTATAATGTTAAGCAAACCTGTCGGGATGTCAACCAAAACTAAAACACTAGAGGGGTGGATGTGGTTTACAACAGGACTGTAGCACTGAGCAGAACTGTCTCCAACATGGGCAAATGACAACATTTAAGTCAGGTGGATTCTCGCAGCGATGCAGGCTGCTTTGGCTTTGAGACAAACACTAAAGTGTATCATCATTGTGCCTTAGTGTTTGACCTATAGCAAGCTGTGATAATGTGTAGGTTTTACTGATGTCCTGCGGCTAATGTTGTCTCTCCTGCTCTCTCCTGCAGGACGCCTCCATCGCCCATCGCTTTCATCTGATGCGGGAAAAGCACCCTGAGAAGTTCAACAGCAGGTGAGAGGCAAACGGCTATAAGGACTAAATCACACTGATACTGAGCAGTCAGTGAGGCAGAGAGTGGTCAGAGAGAACGATAACCTTCCTCTTCTAGCCCTAACACCATTAACTAACAAGAAACCTCGTCACCAACCAGTGACCTCGCACTTTAATCTGGAAACCCAATGTCACACTGAGCTGCAATCGTCAGCAATCAATAAGAGAACAAAACCTGCCTGCACAGTGATCAATATATTGGCAGTGCCTCGTTTGTGAACTGAGCTATGATGTGAGAGGATGTGAATGTTTCCACGGTCCACACATAAATGTGTAAAAAAATTTGGATGATTCAGGTAAAGTTCTGAGCTAATTAGAAATATGTCAGATGGGGACCACTTAGTCTGGAAACAATGGCATTACACTGCAGGAGAGCTGAGTGAAGACAGTAATGACGTAAATGGTGCTTCACGTCATTCTCGTAGCGGAGCAGGTATCTTCAAATGGCAGGCCATGCAGACGAGTGCGTAGCTGTCTAATTAAAAGTTATATAACTCTGGAAGCTGCCTCAGTCTGACGAGACGGTGACAGAGGTCGACAGAGACACAGCAGAGATCCTGAGTCAGATGAGCAGAAATACCTCGGTGACGATGCACTGCAAGTTCAGAAATTTAACCTTGTCACACCAGCAGGACGCCTCGTCAGACAGGAAGTCTGAAACATTAAAAAAAGCCTTTCTTTTATAAGTTTGAGGCCTTTTTTAAGCAAACGTGGCAAAGTTCCTTTAGAGCCACAGAATACATGATACAACTGTTTTGTTGATTTGTGAAACTGATCTTCTGTGAAATCAGCGTACCTTTAACTGTGCTGCTCCTGCCACACAACAGGCACAACAGGATGACTAATGATATTCTTCTTACTGTCAACAAATGATGCCTGATACTGCATCACCCTCCACCCCTCTGTACCATACACCAGTGGTTCTCATTCTGAAGTCATTAAATAAATGCTGCTTGGTCACTGATTTCTGCATAAATGCAAATATGAGGTGTTTTACTGACGTAAGTTTATTTTGAAAAAGACTGTGTGCATGTAGTGAGCAGGAACTGTACATTTCCTGTGTAAACAGAAGTGTATTTAAAAAAGACGCAATGAATTTAACAGGCATAAACTGACAATCTGTCCCAGCACAACAACACGAAACACGAGGATACCGACCTGGTCTCACTATGAAGTTGTTGAAAACCAGCCCTTAGTCAGTAGCCCTTTTTAGACAGGAGTTGTGCCAATTAGCAGGAAAGTCCAATCAGTCTTTTTTCAGCATTGGCAGTATAAAAACAAAATCGGGGAGTGCAGCAAAATGACGCCTACCTACTTTTGTTTATACAGAATGTGCCTTTTTCGGGGCAATGGGGGGCGTGAGCAAGTAACAAAATGTGTAGCTCAGCGTGTGACGTAAACAGTGACGTGGGAGGGAAGCCGCGGCTGGTCAGTCCTTCGGTGATTCTCTCATAAGTCGGCCCGTTATTCACCGTCCCCGTCATCTGACGGTTAATGGCCTCTTCGTTTGCGAGGACAAGGAGGGCGCGCAATTCCTTGTCTCCCCAGTTGCTCATCTTTACAGTGTCTGTCAGGTTTGTGTTTCCCTCTTGCTACTAGCTGCTCGCTTATCCACCACCAGTGGCTCACACATGCGGTATCATCAACAGCCCCTCCTGTTGTGGAAGGGCTCCTCGGTCTGTTTAAACTAAAAGGGTTCCGCCAATATGTCTACCCTACGAGGCGGAAAATTGGGCGCCTCGGATCAACTCGCCAATCCGGCTCTGTGTGTCTAAACGCTCGCAGCTTGCCGGCAAAACGGCCCAACATTCGCCGAAAATCTGGCAGTGTAAAAGGGGCTAGTGATTCCAGCGACAGACACAGATGAAGCACTTGCACGTCGGCATCATATGCAGCTGGTCGCCATCTTGTTTAATGGCACCCAGGCAGCAGGAGGAAAGTGACTAACATGCTGATGTTCACCATGTTTATTATTTTAGTTCAGCTACTGAGCATGCTAACGTTTGCTAATTAGCAACACTAAGTCCAGCTGAGGCTGATGGGAACGTTATTAGTGTTGCAAACTGCATCATAAAGAGAAGGACTGTAGATTGGACTGTTTAGGACTGTTTCCAAAACCGGACCCTACGCACTGCCACTCCTCACTAGTTGGATTGGGACAGCCCTTAATGTGGCGGACCCTTCGTGTGAGCACAGAAACGGAGTGGGAGTGGATGGGGACAGGGTGTAGGGGTTGATTTAGGAAAGGCTCCATGAGACAATTCACTTGAAAGCACAAATATCAACCTCATGGTGGCGCTAGAAGAAAAGTCAGAGGATCTCCAAAGTCCTGAGGATTCATTCTCTGGGCACCATGAACGTCTTTATAAAATGTCTTTGCATCAGAAGGTTGTTGTATTTCAGTGTGGACCAACGTGGTCAACTGTCCAACTGTTCTAATAATCACTGTAGTTTTTCTGTCCTCTTTTTATCTTTAGGGAACTTTTGAGAGACAAACTGATTGTGTTTAGTCTTTCTGTGAGATTTGTTGACAACAGGAAAAATAAAGAATATGGCCCTTGGCCCCCGAACCAATATCATGCACAGATACCAGGAGTTGGGGGGGGGCGGGGGCCGGGGGGGGGGGGAGACTACCTTTGAAGTGTCCCTGCTTTAATTTCCAGCAGCCTTTGCTGTGGCCACACTTCCCTCTGACGACTCATTAAGATGCACAGCAGACAACAAACAGCGGCCGTATGCGCACAGACAGATACTGTAGCCCTGAGGTGAATCACTGCTGATGAGTAGATACTGCTGCCTGTTGTCTCTGCTGTGGCCCCGGGCCGAGGGCGGTGTGTGTGCTAACAAACAACTGGAGTGTTTGTGAATGTGATAATGTTTTCAGTTGTCTCGAGGCGAACATCTTTGCAAACTGTGCACACAGACCTGCGCCAATCATCTGCCTTAAAGCCAATCTGTGTAAACTTTACACTGTGTGTGTGTTTGTGCTTAAAGGGTCATTTCCGATCTTTTGAAGTGGGATTATAAGAGGTACTTATCTATAGCAAGTGTGTTACCTAGAATAAATGCACAACATGAGTTCAGAGGAGTACACAGGAGTCCAATGCAGAAGCTGTGAGCAGTGTGCTGCTGCGGATGGAGGCAGCAACAAATGTATTTTTGCCACCTAAAAAAAGTCCAACTATATATTGATATATTTTCATGCTTTACATTTCTGTCAGACAGCCTGCTCTGGCTGGGAAGATGTAAACGACTACAGTTCCTCATCTCTGCTCTCATCAAAGCCACCTTGACAAAAACATTAATTTTGGCCTGCTGAACACAGGAGCTGCTGGTCTACCGCTGCCTCCCTCAGTTAGTTAGTTTGGGTTTTATGTGACTTTGGTGAATCACTACTAACTTTTAAACACCAAAGTTGCACATGTTGATGATGTTAAATTATTAGCGCCAGTGCAGGAATTTTTCTTGCAGCTCTGTATAAAAGGTGCAATCATGGATGAGGGGACAGAGCTGTCTTGCGTCTGAGTGTGGAATGGAGGTAGTAACAGTGCCTTTATCATTCTGTGCCACCACTCTGAATTCAGAAGTTCTGCAGGTCTTTGATCGCAGCACAGGTGGAGCTCCCCATGTATTTTTTCCCCCCTCAGCTCAGGTCGAGAGGAGCAGCTTCTGCAAGTGAATGCAAACTTTTAGACCCAGCAGAATGAGCGGTTTAGTTTCACTTTCAATGCGCCTGACATTCTGCTGAAAGAATGAGGTCACAGATACAAGCAGCTGAAATGAGTTTCCTCTGAAGGGCGTCGGAGCTCAGCCTGGAGGGAGCTCGGAGTAGAGCCGCTGCTCCTTCGCGTAGAAAGGGGTCAGTTGAGGTGGTTTGGCCATCTGATCAGGATCCTCCTGGGCGCCTCCTGCTAGAGGTGTTCCAGGCAGAACACACTAGAGGGATTATATATCTTGTCTGGCCTGGGAACACCTCAGGATCCTCCAGGAGGAGCTGGAAAGTGTTGCTGGGGAGAGGGACATCTTGAATACTTTGCTCAGCCTGCTGCCCCTACAACACGGCTTCAAATAAGCAGTCGAAAATAGATGGATGGATGGATATTTATTCCAGCAGCGCTTCTAATGAACAGTTCAGCTCCAAAATAGAAAATCTTTTTGTGGTGGCAGATGTTTTAATCGCAGCAGGCCGCCTCAAACAAATGAATGTGGGAAACCCTGGAGGACGAGATCAGCTGCCATATAACAGTGATGGTCAATGATTGTTATTGCCATGTTAATGCCATTGTTATTGTTTATAAAGCACTACCAACACATATGTTATATGTCACACAAGAGGCTGATGCTTAAGTGTTAAATGTCATGACCGTCACGCCTTTTTTGATTCCATGATGTCTGCATGCATGTCTAAAATTACACACAGGAGCGGTATGATGCAGCCGTTGTTTGGCTCTATGTAAGAATGCAAAGGTGGTGTGATGGACTTCGTGTAATCTCTGTGTAAAAAGGGCTCCTGTGTCTCCACAGTGAAAGTTGTGGATGGTCCCAACAGAAGCGTTCCTTAGCGTCCCCATGTTTGGTCCCCCCTCTGTTGGGGTACCTAGCACACAGATCTGGTACTAAAAGGTGGAGCTAGAAACCCTGCAGTCTGATTGGTCAGTAGAGGACGGTCACTCTGGTTTTATGTAACCTCTGTTCATACATCAGTAAACTACAACTATAAAATGAAAGAGAAAAAAATAACTTCATTCACTGGGCCGACTGCCGGCAACTTTTAAGGTGGAACGTTAACTTGTAATGTTACTCAATGCATGAGTTGATGACATGAATCCATCAGCACACCTTAAATTTCACTGTGACAACTTTGACCATCACTTTAGTTTTTATATGACACACACTTTTAGTAATGACTTTAAAAATATAGATGAATTTGGAGCGGATTATGTGAAGGTCATATATTCTAA